GTTGTTAATTGAATGCCATTTAATTCAGATTAACCGTAAATCCAGTCATTTATTGCATTGTTTTCACTACTATTACCACAAAAGGCATCGTTTGTGTCCTCAATGCCATTAATGTAAGTAATATTTGTTTTCATTCAACCATTTAGTGGTCAAAAATATGGTTTGTTTTCCCGGCAAACCATTTGCTGATGAAAAACACAGTTATTATTGCATTCATTATATAATGCATTGGATATTGATTTGTATTTTACTGTTTGAAACAATTTATGATTTGTTGATTCAATTGTTGTCAATATCTACGAAAACAAGTGATAAGTTTGTGCTTTGAATGCCTGTATTGGGGGCCACCATTAAGAATAATCGCCCACGGATTTAAGAATTTTTTTAAATGTAAAATTCAACGCTAAAAACGAATATGAAATCGAAAATTTTCTATATCGAATATTTTTCGAGTTATTCGACTTCGAACTTTTGTTCGAAAAGCATTTTTGACCGAAATATATTAATGTCTTATATGATATCGATGTAGAATTCAACGCTGAAAACGAATTTGAAATCAAAATCTATATAGGTCGAATATTTATCGAAATATTCGACTTTAAATATTTATTCGAACAATTCCTAACCTAACCTAACCTAACTAAATATAACCTAACCTAACTTATATTATGTTATATTTGGTTTGGTTTGGTTAGGTTAGGTTATGTGGGGTTTTAATGGGAAATTTGCCAAAAAATATTTTTCACAAAATACTTGGGCGATTATTCTTAATGGTGGCCGCCAAAAGGCATACAAGCATTGCGTGTAATAACAGTAATATTAACTCATTTTTCGTTTACTTTACGTAAACATACAGTTATTTAAGCGTTTAGTTCATCCATACGTTAACAACACTTGAATTATTTACCAATACTTATATAACATGTGACATATATTTATTGGATTTGATCCAATTTAGTGCCAACAATACGACAATACCTGTAAACTTGAAATACAAACAAATTGCTAACATATTTGACAGACACGTGTTGCACACCATTTGAATTAACTGTAAAACAACTATAGATTTATTGATTCACATGTGATTCAAATGTTTTAAACATTTGACAGTTTTGCCACAAATGTTGCCTTTAATTAATGACAATCATATGATGGCAACCAATACCTAAACTACTGGTATTTCTCACAAATACATCAATAAAATGCATTTATCTTATAATTTGATAATTTATAACATTTAGTTATAAACAATGTTTGTATAGTATAGGAGCCTATTAGGAGGTATGCTGAGGGGTTGAGTTGCCCTAACCTTAGCACTAGTATTATCTAAACGTTATCTAAATTGTTAATACAGTACATGTTGTTTGTAGGAAATGGTGTAAACCACCAGAGATTGCATTCACTTACCGTTAATTGAAAGCCAAATCACATGACATTGTTTACGACATTTAACTGTTTGTGCTTTAATCCTATAAATTGTTTATAGCGTATAATAACTAATTATATTATAATTAAAGTAATATGAAAATGAATGCATTTTGATTTTTCCAGACATGACTTTATTATAATGATAACACATTCACACAATTTATAATTTTTTTTAGTTTTTTTCAATTAATGATTATATGTTTATAATATAATGACATAAAAAGTTGAGTTAAATATTTTTATACATAATTTTGTTAATTGTTAATTGAATTATAGATCCATTCATTCATCCATAGACTCAAACCGACAGATAGTTTGTGTTTATATACATATTTTGGTGCAGTTTTAATGTTATAAAACAATTTTACAACACATTTATATTATTGTTATTAATAATAATAATTAATAATTATTATAAATGGATAGTAAATAATAATAGTTATAATAGAGTTGTACTTTGAAAGGCTTGAAAATGACATTTTCTAATTCAATTCAATAGTTATTTTTACTGTAAAGTAATGTAATGTTAAATACGATTCATTGGACGGGAAATACAGAATCAAATCAGAAAAAGTCTATAATTATTATTGATATGAATTGAGGACAAAATTTTTGTTTTGAAAGCAATTATAAGTTTGAATATTAATTACTGACAACTCTTTGATTTTGAATCTAAAGTCATTTACTGTTAAATACTTTTAACTCAATCTTTAAATAATATCATACGTCGAGTGAATGCAAAGGCATTTGACTTAACATTCGCTTAACTCGTGAAAGTCATCACTATTTTTATCATAACGTTTTGTCAGCGTTTGTAATAGACTTTTAGTCTCTATAATCATATGTAGACTTTAGATAAGGATATTTAAATATTTGTCGCTCTTTTTGTTTTGTCTCATTTCATATTTTCAGTAGTTTTACCATAATTTAAGTGAAATTAATACACAGGAAAAGAAATTACAAGAAATGTTGTTTTCTATACAAAAAATTGCTTCTTTTGGTTAGAGATGGGGATAGAGATCACAGTTTAGATCTAAACTATAGTTTTGTTGCTTTCATTCACAAAATGGGTCACAAAGAGCTCGACATTTAATTTACTAGTTTAGCAATAAATGAGCAAATTTTATATAAATTTTAAACCAATTTATAGACATCATTGCAATTGAATTATATTTCTTAAACTAATTACAGTTAAGAGTATTTGACGTGAAAATGTTTTTCCCAATAAGTTATGTGTAATTGATTTGAAATTTCAATTTTTGATAAATATGTGAATTGATTTAAAAAAGCAATTTTAAGAAATATTGCATTTAATTGTTTTGTGATAATTGTTTGAAAACTCACAACAAGTTTATCGTTATATACCTAAACTCAATGTGAATGTTAATCACAAGAGTATTCTTAGACAGAGACTAATATTAAAACTTAAACATTGAAAATGTATTTCAGCTTATTTTTACTTAAAAGCATTAATGTTTTGTTATTTTTATATGAAATGAGTTAACATTAGAATCAATGGTTAGGAATACTTTTAATGATTAAAAATCATGTGTTTTTTGTATTCATTATTTGCCAATTGTTTTAAATTAATATAAATGTTTATTATATTAATGACTATGAGATCAGACCAGACGACTAGGAAATAACATCGATTTGATTTGAATTACATATTTCTATAATTTGTATAATATATTAATATCGATATATTAAGACCGAAACCTCTATTTTAATTATATTAATGACTATGAGATCAGACCAGACGACTAGGAAATAACATCGATTTGATTTGAATTACATATTTCTATAATTTGTATAATATATTAATATCGATATATTAAGACCGAAACCTCTATAACAACGAGTATTATATTTACAAAAGCCATACCTCTTATATGTCATGTTATTTCCTAGGATTTGCTAAAAGTGTCATTAAATTTCTCGATTACTTGCATAACAGCTTAACATTACGTGAATTGTCAGTAAAATTCAAATATTTTAGTCATAGAATAAATTATATATTGTTTTTAGTCTAAAAAATTCGAAATATGATAAATAATTATAATAATTAATTTACTTGCATAACAGCTTAACATTACGTGAATTGTCAGTAAAATTCAAATATTTTAGTCATAGAATAAATTATATATTGTTTTTAGTCTAAAAATTCGAAATATGATAAATAATTATAATAATTAAATCAATAGGTTTTGCGTTAATATTTTAAAATAAATCAAAAAATTAATATTTGAGTTAAACTCAAAGGTATTGAAATAAATATATGCTTTGACTCACAAAAAGTGATCAGAGATTAAAACCGATAATTAAGATAAATGTGTTTTTTGAATGCAAATACAAAATCACAAACAGTTGTAGTTTTGTATTGAGTTATGAATTGGCTTAAAGTCAACAGTTTTTCCTGTTATTATAGATACCATTCGGTCTGAGAGTCATCTTTGCTCTGCGAGTCTGTGGCTTATTTCGCTGAACCAACACTTTGTTCTGTCGATCCATATTTGATTTGGTCATCAAACTCTTCTGTCCACACACTTCGCGGCTCTGCTGAGCAGACAATACCTTCAGCTCATCCAAAACACCTGTCCGTCGTATGTAAGCATTGAGTACTCATTTGACTACTTTATACTACATTAGTGTTGACAATACATACCAGTCCTGATGTGGACATTGATATTGGTTTGAGTGGTGTTTCTGTTGGCGAGAGACTGTTGCTGTTGCTGTTGACGCTTCAACGCTCTCATCTGTCTTCTCGACATCACTTGAGTCGAGCCATTGGAAGACATGTCTGGTGTCGACTGTGGCGATGGTATGAGTGATTGGTCATAATGTGGTGATCTTTGATCAATGGGCGGCAGTGATGGTCCGAAGACACTGATACTCGGGTGCTCTATAAGCAGGTTCTCTAATGGTGTGGTTTCAATGATGACGGGATTGGAGAGACTGTTGAAACAGGGAGGGGGTGTCACGAACCAGCTCTCCTCCATTGCCTGGTGAGCGACGGCAGTGTCGGCTCCCGAGTGGCAACTCTTGTCAATGGATTGTTGGGTTTGTTGTGCGTCTGAAATGTTGTGTGAAGTTTGAGGCACTCTGTAAGTCGTTGTCTCATAATTGGCAGCAATTGTTTGCAATTCACTCTCATTGCCATCGTTTTCGTCGATTTCAATGATTTGAGTGATGGTTGGCTTCTTGTACTTGTGGTCACCGATGGGACCGTCGATTAGGATCCAGTCGTCGTCGACATCCCTTTCCACGCATTGATTCACATCTATGTTCTCGTTGTTAGCGTTAGACTCGTTATCACTTCCGAAGACATAGTTTGCAAATCTAAACATTATATGAATTATTGATTTGATTTATGAATCGATTGAAACGATTGGCCAACAATTGTAATGAATCTCTTCGTTAATATTTAGCTTTCGTTAAGTTTTAAGTTTGACTTATAATAGACTTAATGTTGAGTTGAGATGCGTTTCGTTACTATTATTATAATTGTATTATTAATGCAAATTTCAATTGAATTGAATGTAACCTAAAAATGAGTACAAAATGAATGAAACAATTGTTATAATGAGTGAATCAAACGCTGCGTATATTTCATAGACGTTTTCATTGACTTAAATATAATGAAAACTTACGATAAATTGAATTAAAAATAATTGTCTAAACAATTAAAATGTTAGATTTGGTGGTGACCTTCACTTAGCAAATCAGCTGTACTTTAAGGCAAAGCAAAGCAAATGTCAAAAACAGGTTTACGTTGAGTGCATAGAAGAGCGCATATTGTAGTGAGTGTTGTGTTGTACTTGTTTTAGTGGTCCACAACTCCAGCCCTCCCAACCCTCAGCCCTACCCATCCCTACACTACCCATAGTAACAGTTACGGCACACAAACACCACTACAGCATACATACAGTCTGTGCCAACAGCTGTAGAGCCACTACAGACTTGTCCAGTCCTTTCACTCCATATCCATTCAAAATACATTCAAAAAGAGCCAAACAATACAACACAACACTAGTATTAATCACACAATCATTGTCTATACATTAGCTTAAAAGCCAAGGCGTTTCCCGTCTTATATCATATTTTAAATTTAATTTTGCATAACATTTAAATTGATATCAATTATAATTTATATTCAATTCAAACATACCTTTCGTTGACAATTGTAGCGATTGTTTAACGTTGAGTTAGAAGTAGTGATAACTAGAGTTGTTGTGAATTGATATGAAGTTGTGTTGTATTGAGGACTCAAAACGTATTTATTCTTTGATGGCTTAGATGTGATGATGACGTCCTCCTCTCTCGCTCTCCCCTCTCTATCAAAAGCCTTCCTCTTCTGCATAAAAACATATACAAGTCATACGTTTTTTCAGCAATGATTGCATCATTCAATCCAAACCTATTATACATTTACTTTATATTTTATTTATGGATTTCATTGCAATCTATTTATAAGCAATTAATTTCGTTATCAAAGACATTGCAGTTTGAGTAATAAAACCATGAATTTTGTGCTAAACTTATAGTTTGCATAAGGCTTGAGACAACCAATCTTGACGTTAGGACAAAATGACTATCGATACAAATCTGATCATGAAATTGGTTGTGGATGTTATGGGCGATCGACAAATACAAGTAACGGTCACTCAATCATTGAAAGGGGCGCTTCTGGTCGGCACGTGTTCTTTCGTGGGCGCACTTCTCGCCGGACCCGTAGGTCTGGCCATTGGCGGCGCTTCGGGTGGAGTTGCGGCCGCTTTTGCCACAAACGGCACTTTCAGATCAATTACACAAACACTCAATGATTTGCCGTTTGAGAAGAAGCGACAAATTGCTGAAGAAATTCAATCAATTATTGATAAGTTAGAAGTGAATGATTTGACAGAATTGACTAAAATTGCAATGATTTGCGCTTCTCTTTCCCGATCGGATCCAAATGTGATACTAATTAAAAGATTTGTTGAACAAACGGTTCCCGTTATTCAAAGACATATTCTTTTACAGCCAAATGTGAATCAAAACTAACATTTTAATAGTTAACAAAATTAACCCAAATGTTAGTTTTTAAAGCAATTGATACTTATTTTACAAGAATTTATTTACATTTCAAATCAAATGATAGATCTATTTAATCGTTAAAATAAATATTTTTCATGAAATTATTTGTTTTCTAAAATGAGTGCTGAATATTATATTTTTCTTACTATTAATTGTAAATAAATTAAATTAATTTCTTGTTTGTATTGAAATTATTTTAATCAAAATAGTCTAATGCTGTAATTTATAAGCCCTGATATATCGCCAAAAAGTGGTGTTATTTTTATGGCCATTAAAAACAAGATGTTTTGAGTGACATTTGGTTTGTCACTAAAATAGATAACAACTTCTTGTATATGTGGCTCATATTCTCAAGGTTTTAAATGCCATTTCTTCGCTCAAATCTAATTTAATTTAAAATTTAAAACTTTGTGTAAAAAGTTGCCAACAAACCAATCAAATCACTTAATTTACACATAATATTTGTGTTGTTTTTTGCACTCAATAAGTGTTTTAACTGTTATCTAATAAAAATAGTATTTTGTTTTTTATTCTTTAATTTTAAAAGTTTTTTAGTAGTTTGCAAACATTTAAAAATATTTCAATACAGACATGAAGTGGATGAAGGAATTGTGTTAGACTTGAAACCAATATTGATATCTATTTGTTTGATAACTGTTTCTTGACATATGTTTGTTAACTAAATTGAAATCAAGTATTATTTGATCACTAATACCAGAACTGTATTATCAATATTGAGCTAATATTGACAATATCAATATGGAATCTATTTTACCATATTTATTTATTTAATTTATGATTATAGCTATTGATAGTTTTATATATAAAATAAAAGATTTGATTAATTGTAATATTGATATAAAATTTTAAAAAGTTAAATTGTTTAACAAATTTATAATTTTGATGACAATTGATGCGAGGAATCACTTAATAATAATTGTTGGACCAATTCTGTGGCCTGTTTTGCAGTTCCCCACGAATAGGTAATGCCATGCCCTCCGTGTCCGTAGTTATGAACCACTTTTAGGCCATTCTTCGTGTGATTCAACCCAGTGTTGTCTATAATCTCGGTCTCCACTCTTACGGGCTGTCGTTGCGGTCGAAGTCCAACCCATTCCATGACTACTTCTGCGTTTTGAAGACTCGGTACCACTTCTGTCACTCTCTGCCAAATTGATTGTCGATCCAAATCATTGAGATTTAAGTCCGAATTTCCGTACTGTTTAATACCGCCCAAAGTTACGTAATCTCTACCGGGGATGACATAGGCCTCGTCGGCGAAGTAGAAGTGTTTAATCCACGGCGCCCTCACCTTAATTGCCTGACCCCTCACTGGAATCATCTTCCAGTCATTGACGAGACTCTTAGCGTTCAAACCGCTGCAGTTGACTACTATATCATAACTGTCACCCATTTGTGACAGATTATCGACGTGTCTGTTCACAAATCGGGCCCCATTTTGAGTCAAATTAGTGGTCAAATATGGCAGATAATAACGCGGATCTGTTATGATTGACGTCCAGAATATTCCGTATCTGAAGCGCTCGGGAAACAGATTTCTTTCGTTTTGATTGAATTCTCTAATATCAGGAATAATCTGATTTAACAATTGATTGTTAAGACTTTCTCTTGAATGGGAACTCATGTGAAAACCGGAAACCAATTGCATTCCACTAATGTTGGCATCACTGGAAGCACAGAGACCGAGAAAGTGGTCGTAACTTGTTTTGGCCCATTTCAGCGTCTCTTCAGCCGACGTTCCGATATTGAGTTCGGGTCTAAACAGACCGCCCGCTCCATAGCTTAGTGTTTCGGCCAAAAATTTGTCGGCAATTATAGTGACATCAACTGATGGAATGGTTTGTTGTATGGCTAGTGCTGTCGACAGACCCACAACTCCCGCTCCTATAACTCCTATTTGAGGTTTTGCTGACTTGAGAGGCATTTCTTGTTTTTGATTAATAGTTGTTTTAAATGACTGTCGATTTTAGAAATGAACATTTATTTATACAGTATTTATAATTATTTACCATAATTAAGACATTGATATAAAACATTGTAACATTAATGTGATGTTATTGTCACTCAACAGAATCTCTTGACTGACAAATTCAATGAGTGGTCGATAGGGCGCAGAATTGAAGTGTTGTTTTCATTTTGATATGTTTTGAACAAACATTTGAATGGCATATAAATGATGGCAGAAGTGGAACAGAATTCAAATGCAGAGATCGTTTCGTTGGACAAAATCGCCCATAAATTGCTTAAAGAAGGCTTTCTATTGACTGCACTTGAATTTCACGCCGAACTGCTTGAGAGCGGCAAAGAGTTGCCACGACTTCGCGACTTCTTCTCAAATCCGGGTAATTTCGAGAAACAATCGGAAGAGGAGTCGACACCAACTTTGGCCGCGTTTGATGGCTCGCACTCCGGTCTTCCCAGAACTTCATCCGAACAGACGTTTGATTCGTTGGATTTCACCCGCAATTCAGACGACGGCGAGCGACAGATTGACGAACGGATAGCGGTTCTCGAGTTTGAGTTAAGAAAAGCTCGCGAAACGATTAAGTCATTGCGCGCCAGTCTTACAGACTCTTCAGCACAACAACCACAACAAGAGTCAGATTTCGCACAATCAGAATCAACCATTACTTCCAGCAGATGTGTTATCACTCCAGTCTCGAGTACTTATTCACAGATGGATTCATCGGAGGAATTGAGTGCAGGAAAACCCTATGAAATACGGGCTTTGAATTATTTGGTCAACGAATACCTCATGAAATATAACTACAAATTGACTTCAATTACATTTTGCGATGAGAATGAAGAACAAGACTTTGAAAACTGGGATGACGTGGGACTCAATGTCCCAAAACCTCCCGATTTATTAAAACTATTTCGAAATTATTGGTCAAATAGTTCTCGAAATTCATCCGAATTTACAACAGAAGTTACATTTAATTAACACTTAATTTAATAGTTATATATTATATTGAAATTGNTGTTGTCTATAATCTCGGTCTCCACTCTTACGGGCTGTCGTTGCGGTCGAAGTCCAACCCATTCCATGACTACTTCTGCGTTTTGAAGACTCGGTACCACTTCTGTCACTCTCTGCCAAATTGATTGTCGATCCAAATCATTGAGATTTAAGTCCGAATTTCCGTACTGTTTAATACCGCCCAAAGTTACGTAATCTCTACCGGGGATGACATAGGCCTCGTCGGCGAAGTAGAAGTGTTTAATCCACGGCGCCCTCACCTTAATTGCCTGACCCCTCACTGGAATCATCTTCCAGTCATTGACGAGACTCTTAGCGTTCAAACCGCTGCAGTTGACTACTATATCATAACTGTCACCCATTTGTGACAGATTATCGACGTGTCTGTTCACAAATCGGGCTCCATTTTGAGTCAAATTAGTGGTCAAATATGGCAGATAATAACGCGGATCTGTTATGATTGACGTCCAGAATATTCCGTATCTGAAGCGCTCGGGAAACAGATTTCTTTCGTTTTGATTGAATTCTCTAATATCAGGAATAATCTGATTTAACAATTGATTGTTAAGACTTTCTCTTGAATGGGAACTCATGTGAAAACCGGAAACCAATTGCATTCCACTAATGTTGGCATCACTGGAAGCACAGAGACCGAGAAAGTGGTCGTAACTTGTTTTGGCCCATTTCAGCGTCTCTTCAGCCGACGTTCCGATATTGAGTTCGGGTCTAAACAGACCGCCCGCTCCATAGCTTAGTGTTTCGGCCAAAA